TTTTTTTTTTTGAACCCTTTGCTAAAAGACTTGTTTCGGTAATATAAAAATATTTACATATGTGGAAATTATGTATAAACAACTATAGGTAATTGTTTTTGAAGGTATAAAGTGATTTTTAGTCATTTATTATTTTTTGCATCAATAGAAAACTAAACAGCAAATAATTTCTGTCAAAAACTACTTTATTGTATTTCTAAATAAATATATAATTAAATAAAAACTACTTTTATCAAATCTATTCGAGCAAAAATTTCTTTTCGATATATAATACTGTTCAAAACCGGTTTTCTGCAAAAATTACTATTTGAAAATAGGTTTTCTGTTAAATCCTAAGGCTGAGCTCAATAGATACAGTAAATAGGAGTTAACTAAAAACACTTTGAACAATGACCATCTCAAAATACGAAAGTTTTATGCCTTATAAAAACTATGAATACAAAATTTGAAAAAACACGCTAAAATAAAGATTTTATTAATATATTAAGCACAAAAAAATGAGCTTGTCCTCGAAAAATATATTTCTCAAGGACAAGTTTTAATTGTTTGTGCTTATAAGCTTATATACAATATCATAATTTAAAAAGACGATCGACTACAAATTTTTGCACTGTGTACAAATTATTTTTTATTTATTAATGTTTATATCACTAAAGATATGTTAAGAGCGCTGTTCGATTTTATTTCCCAATACATGTACTACTAATGATAACTAATCGTTTAAAATAATTTCAATTCACCTGCCAAGCTTTTCGAAATACACCTTGTCTATCACGAATAATCCACCCGCAATCATAGGCGTCCTAATGACGGCAGTGGGATCGCTCCTGCGGGCCTGTCTTTCTGCGTCACTCAAAATATTCCCATTTGAACACCAAATTCCAATCAAAGCCCCCACGTAAATCGGCGCTTGCCCCGATGTATTGGAACGTGTCCATACTTATCACGTCGATGACGGGACAGACCACACGTGTTGGATCCTGAAATTTAGAGACACAATATTGTTCCCACATACTGTGATTGACGCATAGATCAACGCACGTATAGTTGTAACTGATATAACTTTAAACTATGATGTGTAACTAAATAGTGAATAATTGATATTTGAAAAATGATTATTTTTATATAAACTCCATTATTTTCTATATGTTATCGTGATTGAGTTCTTGAAGATCTAATTTAGTTATCTTGCAATCCTATGCACGCATCTATTAGAATGATTATAACTATTTTTTTATTTTCATTGAATTACGGAGATAAATTGGCATAGTTTATTTAATTCATGTTCCTACCAAAATCGGCTTTGTTTGAGTTCGTGTTCCAACCAAAATTGGCTTCGGTCGAGTAAGAGTTTGTATCAAAATCTGCCTTCCTTAAAATGCTTAAATATTAAGTCTATACCTGTTGCACACGTTCTAGTAATGGTTCCAACCATCCTTCATTACATTCACAATGACTATCCAAAAAGGTAAGAACAGGAGCAACAGCTGCGGCAGCACCCCGTACACGAGACCTCATGAGACCTTCCCTTTTTGAGTTTCGAAGAACCCGCACTTTGCTTATTCTCGCCAACTCTGCACCATCTTCGGCTATTGAAAATGATAAAAGAATATGTTTAATCTATGTATACGCACATATATGAATAAGTAAATAAATAAACTGTTATATATATATATATTGTAAATGATTTTTATTGTTATCCGAATGAATTTCTGAGTTCGCAAAACTATGAACTTAGCTACTGGAAAATAATAATAACACTGTTCTAAATTGCGACTAATTTCAATAATGCTATTATTTATCAATAACTATAGGAAAACACTTACGTGTATGTCTCAATTCATTTGAATTCAATGTAAATTATCAATAAAATGTAAATAGCTTGGAAAATATTTAAGCACACATTGATTAGAAAGTACATGGCGTCTCCACCGTACAATAAATTCCAGTGTTGAGTATAGTTATTTCTTACAAACAACAAATTTAAAATTTAACAGATCTTTATATATATTTTTTTCTTTTAGTTAACCTTTTATATAATCTTTTTTGAAGTACACAGAGTAAATGGTAATAAATATTCAAGATATTACTTAAATCTAACACAAATATTCTATAAAATAAGGCATTCACTGGTTAAATTTACATGTTATAATTATTTCCACTTGAATAGTCAGGTATTTTTTTATTATATGAAAGGAGGGTGTAATCATCATCAAAAGCATAGAGTTACGAAAAGGCCTCTTGCATATCAAATAACGAAAATTAATGGAATATAAAAAACGAAAGTAAATACGTGGTAATAATATTGAAAGCATCTTAAACATATTATCATGAATTTGTTTAGTACACAGTGAGGTACTTAACCATAGTTTATTATGCAACATAAAATCAGTGTTTGCTGAATTTTTGTCGAACAGAATTTTATAAAGCATAACGTTAAAAAAAACATTTCTTCTGAAATGTCTTCAGCTGAAACCCTAGGAAATTATGCTCCTAATTAATTATGCAGTAATATTATACCATTATTCTCTGAAAGTTTATTTTTTTATGGGAAAATGATTAATTATATTAAAATATTCAAATTATTCACATATATTGAAACTTTCAGCTGAGGTTCAAATCAAGCGTTCCCATTGACCGAATTCAAGGCACGTAAAAGCAGCGCGTGGCTTAAAAAGTCAATCGAGGGACGTTAATGTTAAGTTACGATATCGGGGTTGCTGCACGCGGTGCAATGTGGGTTTTCCGAAGGGTGTAATTTATCTTTAGATGCCGTACGTGCATGATCGGCAAGCTCGATTCTGCAGATATGAAAAATAAATTTGCAATCTGCAAACTTGCATATTCAGACGTTAATATTTTATAAAAATTTAATAAACATAATGTTAGCAAAGTGCAAATTTCAGGTATTTTTAACACGATCAGAGGCAGTAAAAGAACAAAAATTGTACCTTTACTGCCGTAGTTATTTTCTTTTAAAATCCATTTAGATATCCGAAATTCGATAAAACACCGTTCATAAGGCTAGTTATCCTGGACAATATGAATGTATAATATACTTTTATTATATTCTCATTCACACATCAGATAAGATTGCAATACTTTATTTATCATATATCATGAATGCTATTGCATCCACGTCATTTTGCATCATATGAGAATTATTTGTGCTCGGACATGTTAAATGATATATTTTATGTACATGCTAGATCAGACTTTTTTGAAAAGTTGAAATATTTTGCAAATTTTGACACCCATTCAAATTAATTTATGCATAGTATCTAAGATGTTGACAAAAATTTAAACTATATAAATTTAAATTATATAAATCTTGGTAAATTATATAAATTGGAAACAAAATAGTTCTAATTAGTAAAATCTCTATAAAATATCTGATGATTTGATGTGCATATATCTAAAGATAATTTTTGACCACTAAATTACATTTTCACAACTTTTTTTTCTTAATGGAATTGGGGCACACATCTACTCATAAATTCTTTTTATAAAGGTGTACCGCAATATCAGAAACCTTTGAAACGAATGGATATACAAAAATTTTTATTTTCATTTTTTTAGCGTTTACTATATGTAGTAATGTACTTGATGAGCAGCACTACGAGCTTAAGTAGTTATTAATGTCAGTAGCTTGTTAATAATGATTATGGAAATTTTTAAATAATCTATAGATAGATTCTATTGCAAATAAAAATCATAATCAATGTGAAAACATTACAAATCCCTAAATCAGTGTCATCCATGCACCGATAAGTTTTCACCTTCCTGGTAGCGGCATCAGCGTCCCGGGTAGAAGTAATAATACAAACAATTCGCGCAGCAAATTCGTTTCCGATTCTCGCGGGAGATCCGACCGTCGATGCACTCTGCACGTACGCTATCAGGAGTTAAATTGCACTATCGCGAAATACACTGAATTTGCTGTACGACTTATCGGGGATAAAATTTTGTGTTCGTAAACGCACTCGACAATGCAAGAAGTAGCACTTTTCGATATTTGCGAAAGAGTCATTGAATGTATAAAAATATAGAAAATAGTTAAATTAAGCAAGTTTTTAAGATTACTTCAGAATCAGCTGAACAAACGTTGGATACTTGCACAATGTATTCAGAATATATACACATACATTTGGAAAAGTAAGCTTAGTCTAGATATAAATGATAACTAGACTAAGCTTACTTAGGGTAGGACAGGGCTCAAAGATCCGTGGGTAAAACGTCCAACACCGATCTCAAAGACAAGTAAAGCTAAGTTTTTTTTAATAACAACATTTGAAAGTAAAGGGAAAAAGATGTATAATAAGTTAACACCATGCTATCGGGAGATAAACTACAATGCTTGAAAGTTGAACAAAAGCATTATCTTTCGTTGTTAGTTTTTTAAATTGTGAGCACTGTTGTTTAGTTCACGTTAGTTTAATCTAATATAATTTTAAGTACACATTCTTTATTAAAACTTTTGAAAGACGTAATGTTAATTTTAACATAAAAATTTAGTTTCTGCAAAGCTGTATTAGCTGGCAGTTTTACTAAACATAGTCAGATAGTTGTTTGTAATTGCGCAAAGTCAAATTAGACCATGGTGCCCCGCGCTACCTCACTTCATGACTCACCTAGTTGACCTTGGATAGAGAATTCAGACTCCGACAATGCAGTAAAAGGAATGACTTGTAACGGATAACACATATTGCTAATTATATAAAACTATGAACTATAAACTATAATTTAGATTTTCATATTTTAGATTTTAAATTATAACACACTGATGATGAGACAAACCTGGTCTCGAAACGTTTGTAAAATTATTATTTAATAAATTAGTGCAAAAAAGTGTTGTTAGTTTGTATTTCTAAATTAATATCTATCCACTCAGAATACACATCGTCATATATATATATATATATATATATATATATATATATATATATATATATATATATATATATATATATATATATATTCAGAATATCCACTGTATAGGCACAATTTGGGCACGATGTAATACATGCACGTGTAGATGTGCATATAACCAGTTATCACACATAACAAAATATATATACATGCATATGTGTATATATTTTATCAAATAAATATATTATACATTTTTTCAATTTTTCTTAATACACCATTTTTTTTACCATCTATCTCGCTCTTAGCAATTGCTCCTTAAAGTATTAAACAAATCCAACGAATCAGACAGTCTGCAGACATTGCCCGTAATGAAAAGTTCTCGAATTCAAGTTGTGAAAAGGCTCTAGATCGTGTTCAGATATCGTCGAATAAAAGAAGAGATCTCAGCCGCCCGCTCTCAACGAACCCGGGATATTTCCAACACAATATTCGTTCGTCGTAAGTGGATTTCGCACAAAAAGATTGCATGGTAAGTATTCGCGGAATACATATATCAGCATTACCAGACAGAAATAGTGCGGCTACGGCACACTAAAAGAATAGTTGGTCGACAACTTGCATGAAATATCTGAGAATGCATTCAATAGAGGCAGAAATGCATTATTTTTTGCCATATAACAGCAACAGCTATTTTTTTAATGATTCTTATTTCTACTAATACATACCCTAAAATTACTAATAGACTTCATGTTTCTCAATCAAAAGACTTTATATGATTATTCTTGTTTTTTTTTCACGATGTTTTTAAAGTATTTAAATTGCTTTGTATTGTAAAGTGCTTTGTTTAATCCTTTGCAATATAATTTGCAATTTTTCTACTCACATGTTACTCTCATATTTAGACTATTTCAACTTTCTTAATATGTGTCTGTCTAATTCGTTATCACATTTTAATGCGTAGATTGATCCAGACCAATTTTAGACCGTTTTTTACATTTTTATCAAAGATAAAATACTGCGCAATTGTAAGAAATTATTTCCAAAACAGTTCTAGTTACACAAATATAAAAATACACCCCTAAAAGAGAAAATAAAGATAATTAGTATAAGATAATTATATATTATTTATTCGTGGATATAATTCAATTAACCTTTGTTATGCTTAATTGAACACTCCCAATATAAAAATTATTTAAATAATAAAAAAAACATTTTTAATAATAAGTAATTGTTCACTAATATTTAGATAACATTAAAGGTTTATTTACCAATATTCATGTTTAAAGTAAGTTTTTTCAAAGCTCCCTTTCTAAAATGTTGGGCATGTACCACTCTGCAGTACGCCGAACGCGCCAAAACAATAAAATGCAAATTATATACAATCAGAATTTATGGATAAACTTTTATTTCCTGATATTGCGCACCAAAACACATGCTCGCATATGTTTCAAAAGAAATGCTTTCTTTTGATCGAATTGCCGCAGTATACAGAATAAGAAATTTGTTACGAATAACTATGTACAATTCAAGAGAATGATCATTCAAATTGAATGATTGAGTGAAAATTAATTTATTTACTTGGGAAACAATATAGAGATAACACGTTAAAAAAGCAGATATTCGTTAAAATATAATTCATTAATTTAACTTATTGTATAATTCGAATACATGTCAATTTAGAGGAAAATTCAGGTTTTGATATTTAAACAACCGATTAGCT